CTATATTGTTCCTCGTTATTACTATTCCTTTGTCTCACACCTCTGTTTACTGTCTCTATTATGCATTTCTTCTACTTTCTTCTCTTGCTTTGTGTTCTACAAGGAGGGAGTGTGGCGACTTGAACTTCTGCACATATGTGCAAAGTTCTATTTCGAAAATAGACAGACAGACACCCCTCACCTGTGATTCATTACATTAGTCCACATATCCGGCATAGGTATTATGTCATCTCTATTACACGTGTTTGGTGTTGATTCGATGGACAAAGATTCGGTGACCGATCTCTCACTTGCTCTCTGTCTCCACCTAACTGTATTACTTTCTAATACTTTCACCTTGTCCCATCCTTTTGTGTAATCACATATAAATGAATGCAAAACGATAGCCGAGGTGTGTTTCAGATCACTGAACTTCAATTTCAATTGTTAAATTTTCCTCACGAATCATTATTATTTAGAGAGATCAGTGAAAACACCAAAGGGCATTGGGTAACTGTTTCATCCTGTTTGCACCCAGAGATTAAATTATCACGTCAAGATACCATGCTCGCTGACCATTCAGCCACTTGGTCTGAAATTCAGCCATCAATGAATTCCAACTTTCCAAGTATTGATTTTTGTAGGGATTTTGTTTGATTGGTTGAAGGATTTCATCATGAGCTGATTATCAGTTAGAGAAGCATTGAGAAACCTGGGGGTACCGGATAGCTGTTCTGTCCTGGTTTGTGACCCACCGGGGTACGAACCCAAAAGACCTTCCGTTTGCAAGCCTAGCTCGTTGACCATCGAGCCACTGGGACCCGATCCAATGGCCAAGAATTCGAGCTTCTGCTTAGTGGTCTACAAACTCGCCTTGTAACCAGAAGGTCCTGGGTCCGAACCCCGGTGGGTGCGTACTACTGACGTCTCAAACTAGGACGAAACATCTGTCCAATACTCTTAGGTCTTCCAGTGGCTAGCTCACGATGAAATCCTCCAACCAATTCCAACTTTGTCAACTCGTGATATAATGTTACGCCTTCCGCTGCCTTCGACAAGTATCCCTTTCACCTTGAGAAAGGGGGACCCTACTAGTCATATATTCTCACAGCAGCTTCAGGACATACATCCAGTAATGACATTTGAGATTTTTTGTTTAGAAATCTGACATTAAAATGATGAATTTGTAAAACATCTTATAAGGTACTTATTTTCACGACTTCAAAGTTCTCATTAGTCTATGACAGTAAATGCGTCTCTTCATATTCACACCCACGCTCAAGGTTTCAATATCAAATACAGAAAACCGTATTTTCATGATTTTATACTGCTCTTTGTTCCGTCTATTGTATCACGAGTGCTTTGTTTTCCCTCCTGTCCAAGTGACGCTCAAACCCAGATCTTCCACATAAGAAGCCAATCACTTAAAACTGTTGATTTCAATGTCAACCTCCACTTCGTATCTAAGAATAGCACTTCTTGATCGGAAGCACCATTTTTGTTTATGTGAGCATACTACTGATAAGAAATGAGTACGAAAATGTGAGAGGAAAAAGTTAACTATCAAGTATTCGTTTACAGGGATTTAACAAGAGACAATTCTACGACACATTGTCAACCGAAACAGAACAGGTAGGGCGGAGTTAAAACAGACCTGAGAACATTATATCAGATAACCAGGTCTCTAATCAGGAAGAAGTCAACGCAAGTGAAACCTATAAAAGACTTTCAAGGGAACTTAGTTACCAGAGAGGAGAGACAAATAAAACAATGAGTTGATCACTCACTTCAAAGGACTCTTGAATTGACCATCACCTGCAACTCGACAAAGAATACCACCACCACCACCAACACAGCAAGCACACAACTGGACACAAGTCCTCTAACGACAGAAATCCTGAAGGCGATCAAGCTAGTGAAGTCCAGGAAGGCATCAGGTCCAGATGCAATTCCCCCACCCCGAAGCACTGAAAACAGACGCAGAGACTGCAGTAGATATGTTAACGCCATTATTACAAAAGGTTTGAAAGGAAGGAAAGATGCCTACTGATTGAAAGAAAGGTTACCTTATCAAGCTACCAATGAAGGGTGACTTATGCCTCTGCAAGAACTGGTGCGGAATAGTGCTCTTGTCCACACCAAGTAAAATACTAAGTTACGTCATCCAGCGGAGAATTAAAGATACAATTGATACAGAACTCCACCAGCCAGAACAGACTGGATTCAGGAAACGCGAATCATGTGCTGATCAAATTGCAGCTGTGTGCATCATCATCAAATAAAGCATAGAATCGGAGTCAAATCTCTACCTCAACTTCATCGACTTCGAAAAGGCCTTCGACGCGCAGTGTTGACCGGGACGTGGATCGGGAACTGATTCAACCCTATGGCGTACAATGCCCAAGTCTTTATCAGCCTCATTCAACAGTTATTGACAGTGGGATGTGTCAGGTGGTCCACAACGGAAAACTCAGCGAAGCATTCCAAGTGAATTGAGGAGTAAGACAAGCTAGCTGTCGGCCTATTATCACCAATCATTTTCTTAATTGTGGTGGACTGGATTATGCCGACAAAGTTTGTCGCTAACAGAGTTGCTTGGGTGGTTGGTTTAAATGCCACCCCGACTGATTCCAACCTCATTCAGAATACTACACAAGGTCTCTGACGTTCCTTCCTTATACGGCAGTACCACACAGGCTTTGAATTCTATATCATTTTCGTTAATTTTTTTCTATGGTCCTTCAGACATCTCTGAATAAATTCTGGTGGGTTGTGAGTGGGTCATTCACTAGCGATATTTCCTCTATTTGTTTGACTTCATTATAAAATCTTTTGGCTTCCTTGCTAGTTAGTTAGACTGCTGTCTCGACTATATAAACATTTAACTAAAACCATCCATCTTTACTGATTCTGGATGAGATGAAATGAATTAAAGTCTAAGTATTTATTGTAGTGTATGTTGGTTTCCTATAAATGCCAGTTAGTATCTAACCCACCCACCCACCATCCAGAGTGGAAGTATCAAAGAGTAATGTAGTTAGGTCGAGTAAGCGAGAGAGAGAAGTTAATTACTGAAGCTCTGTTCATCGATTCAACATCGCACACATTCCTTAGGAGTAACTCGACGCCGCCTACCCTGGAGATATTGAAAATGGCACCAAACAACAAGGGGAAGAGGGCGACAGGGAGACAGAAAACATATATAAGACAACATGTAAAGCCAATGCAGCTAAACTGATATGATTATGATCAGTAATAATTTATGCTCGAGATGTTGTCATCCAGTGATTAATGCTGCATCATCACACTGTGTGATATTTGAAATATCCTTATCTAAAATATGGAATTACATTCTACCACAAAGACGCATGCGTCGGTGGTATCTGTCTGTTTTCGACATATAACTTTGCACATATGTGCAGAAGTTCAAGTCTGTCTGTCTGTCTGGATTCAACATAGAACTTGGCACCGAAGTGCAGCAGTTCGAGTTGCCACGTTCCAAATAGCACACAGAGGTAGACAAGAAGATGAGTGAAGAGAATTAATAGAGTTTGACAAATATAAGAGTGAAACAGAATGGGTAATGGTAGAAAGGAATATGAAAGATCACAGAGATTGAATACATCTGCGCCATTGACAACGATTTTGAGCCATGTCATCTATTGTCTCCAGCCATTGATTCCTAGAGTCCCGAGGGCCCCAACCCGGGAGTCTGCATCTCCCTACCTGACTCAGTTTAACTGTCAAGGATTTCATGGATTGATTCCATGTTTTTGTTTGGCCACCACTGGCTCTTTTCCAACCTGAACCTATATCAGCTAACAATGCCCGTCGGGGGAGGCGGTCGCCACACTCCCTCCTTATAGAACACAAAGCAAGAGAAGAAAGTAGAAGAAATGCATAATAGAGACAGTGAACAGAGGAGTGAGACAAAGGAATAGTAATAACGAAGAACAATATAGTTACATTGGAAATCATAAGTCACAAGGAGTGGATGCATCTGCACCACTGAGAATGATTTTGAGCCATGTCACCAATTGTTTCCAACCATTTGCTTTTACCTTCCCGAGGACCCCAACCAGGAAGTCTACACCTTCCTACGTGGCTTAGACTAACTGTTGTAGATTTCATTGACTGGTGCCATGTTTTCGTTTGACCTCCGATAACTATTATCTAGCGTGACCCTGTATCAGCTAACATTGCCCGTCGACGAAGGCGATGACTAGGCATACGTAACACATGTCCTAACCATCTCAGTCAATGTAACTTCACAGCCTCCTAAATTGATTTCTCCTGCTTACCTAGAACTCGACGCCTAACGTTGGTGGTATAGCGGTTAGGGGCTCACCGACCATGCACATGGTCCGGGGTTCGGTCCCCTGCCGACGCACTCCTTTACCTCGCTGAGCCAGAAATAATGCTAGTAAAGAGGAAAGGCTGGGCATGAGACTAGCAACCCCATCCTGTAAAATAAAACACTGCCACAGAAACTTCAAGCCACTGGCTTAAAGCCCTATATTCCACTGGGGAACGTGAAGGAAAAAAAACAAGGACGCATGTACTACACTTACATGTGGGTCAGCGAAATGATGACAGCCAATTCACGGCTGATGGGTATCCAACTGTATCAGCCGTAAAAGAGCTCTCACCCACCTCTCTAGCCCCACTATACCAGAAGAATTTGTACCGATGACTGTTTAAAAAAACCAAACATGTAACACTTCATCATCAAGACGAATAAGGAGGATTTCACCATGAACTGACATTAGTTAGAGAGAGAACCACTGGAAAACAAGCTGGGAGTACTGGACAGCTGTTTCCACCGTCCTAGTTTGGGACTCTTCGGTAGTACGCACCCCCACCGCCAAGGTTCGAGCCCAGGACCTTCTGGTTACAAGGCAAGCTAGCTCGTAGACCATTAAGCCACTACTGAAGAATTGAAAACTAAAACCAAAACAGCTGTCCAGTACTCTATGCTGGTTTTCCAGTGGTCAGCTCACAGTGAAATCCTCCATAAAATGAAAAACAAAATCCCTACAAAACCAATAGTTGAAAATAACTGGTAAATAAACAACTCAGAATGTGTATTTATTCATCCATTCATTCTTTAATGAAAATAATAGTAATAATGAGAGAAGAATGGATTGACAAAAACTTTTCTTAGAATGGAATATTTTGTGTTTGGATGCGAATTCACAGGACTAAGTCATCATGTACACACACACACAGGCGCACACAAACACAAACACTGGTCAGCAGTCAAAATCACAATAATAATAACCCAGCCTACTCATCATTTATCCTGTTTATCATCTTCCTCAGCCGTCTTCATCTTCTTATTCTTATTCTCTTCATCATGATCATTTGATGATGAACTACCGCCACCACCAGCACCACCCCCTTGAGATTGAGATTTAGTCAGTGCACTTATCGCCTTGCGTACATCTTCATTTTGTGTATCTACACCAGGGAGACTTTGTAGAACAGATTCAATAAATGCTACATCATAGATAACATCTAAATCAGCAGGTGCATGAACTGTTGTTGTTGTTGTCGATGGTGCTGCTGCTGAGCTCGTAGTGGTAACGGCGGCAGCAGTATCCGTTGGCAATCCCCCAGAGACTGTAGATCCTTCTGTCTTTTCTACAGCTTTAGTTGGTGTTTGATCTACATCCATAGCCATAGCTGTTGTAATCGGCGAGGCTTCCACATTAGTCTGTTAAAAAGAAAGAAAAAAGAAATCCAGCTCATTCAACGGCAACAACAGCAAAAAAGGTAGAGGCAGTAGAACATCATCGATTGTGACAAGCTTATGTTGATTTTTTTGGCTTTCATCAACCAAAAGAAGAGATGTACATCACAGTCAAAACTGGCTTTCCCATAGTCAAGCACTCCATCAGTGTGTGTCCAGCAAAGAATAAGTTTACTCAAAAGAATGATTACTGAACAAAGGGATATTCTTTTCGATAACTTCATCATCAGGTTCTACACTTATATGTATACATAATAGTGAATGAATGAATTGATTAGTGTTATGAACAACATTAATGTTATCACCACCTCCCACTGTATTTACCAATTTGATTGTACATGTGGACACACATACATAGGGAGGACTCATCGATATCAATCCTAAATGACTCCAGAAGCTAATAGAATCCCGAGAACCCATTAATGGTGAGGCCAGGAGACCAATCTCCTCTACTTCGAAACATATTATAGAGATAGGATATGAAATTGATGTTAACACATCTTTTAAACTTATTTATAAAATGTGTTTGGGGCGTATCTTAAAGTTTGTGGAAGCCCAAGTTGACAATGAAGAAGTTTAAACCATCTTTATGCGTTGAAGGTAACAATTCGTCATCACACTAAACTACCTTTCTTGGTAAACTTTGTTTTGATACATACCACGGTAGATTTTGGTTTAGTGATCTTCATTGTTATTCCAACCTTCAATACGTTCTTATAACTTGATCTAAATTTATTTTCCGACCTATTAACTCTTTTTTAATTTCATATATATATTCTTATGACAAGTCCGTGTGTCCATCGCTTACGAGAGGACTGGTGGACAGTTAGGTCTACCTAAGGGAGTTGGAAAACCCAGATTCCAAACCTAGGGATGTACATAAGCTTCAAAATCCAAACGGATCGAATGGAATATGAACCTCTTTCAGACATCGACAGCCAAGAGGACGTCGCTCCTGAAGCTGCTCCAAAGCTTTGTAGATCGCACTTCAAGTCAAAGACCCAAGGGAAGAATTTTAAAGACAACCACCTACTTCTATCAGTACGTTCGGTGAGTATCCCAGCCGTCAACATAAACTGCGAAATTAGGTGTAACGCACCTCTTGATATCCATATAAAATGTACCAAGTTTGTATTTTAATCAATCAATTCCCGGAACAGGTCCTTATGTCCCAGGTTATGAGCTGAAGTAGATAAATTGGGGTGGGGGAAAGGCTCGAAACTTGTGACTCATCACACTGGCTAAACATCAAGTGTTTCAAACTAGAGCAGAGCCAATTCTCCATACTATTTCACACAACAACAACAACAACAAAAATAGCGAATAAAACAAACCTTATTCGACTCTGTAGCAGTTGGTTGTGCAGTTTCTTCTCCCATTTGTTGAAGAGACATACGCAGTGCATAGGCGATTTGATCTTCTTCAGACATTGCTGCCAAATCAATATCCATAGGTAATCCTGCCGATCCTGCATTATCCATTTGCATTGACATAGCCAAAGCCTGTTGAAGCATAACCTCTTCAGAAGTACCTGACCCGGCTAAAAAAAAAGAAACAAGTGTATTTACACACAGATTAATACATAGACCTTAAAAATAAAACAAAAATAAAACATGGAATCCAGTTAAATTGGTGTACCCACTGTTTGTCTGTTTTCGATATAGAACTTTGCACATATGTGCAGAAGTTCAAGTCGCCACACTCCCTCCTTATAGAACACAAAGCAAGAGAAGAAAGTAGAAGAAATGCATAATAGAGACAGTAAAAAGGTGTGAGACTAAGAAATAGTAATAACGAAGAACAATATAGTTTCATTGGAAATCATAAGTCACAACGAGTGGATGCATCTGCACCAGACATTGAAAACGATTTTTAGCCATATCACTGATTGTCTCCAGCCATTGGTTTTTACCGTCCCGAGGACCACAACCAAGAAGTCTACATCTTCCCTCGTGGCTTAAACTAAGTGTTGTTGATTTCATTGACTGATGAAGCCATGTTTTGGTTTGACTATTACTAGTTCTTCCCCAATCTAATCCATCCTATGTCAGAGGCTAACATTGCCCGTTGAGGAAGGCAATGGCTAGGCATACGTAACACATGTCCTAATCATCTTCGTTGATGTAATTTCACAGCGTCGTCGATTGATTTTGCCTCCTTACCTAGAACTCCACCGATGACCAACCTCAATATTGCACACCTTATTATACCATTTCACACGGGAGATGGAGCACAGGCACCTATGATCAAAGACAGCTAGTCTTTTCCTGTCTTCTACTCACAATGGCCAAGTCTCACATCCATAAGGGAGGACAGAGCGGACTGCTGAGCAGTAAAAACGTCCTTTGGTCGACAGCCAACCGGATATCACGTCTACGCCAGAGACGGCATAAACTGCCATATGCGAAACGAGCCTTCTGTATCCGTGATGAGATTCCATCAGAGATCAACCAGTTGGCACTGGCTGATGCAACTTCCCAAATAAGTGAAGCGGTCAACATACTCTACCACTTCACTCTCTATTTCTAAACTAGGAGTCGGTGTCGTCCAGTCCTGTAACACCATCTTACATTTGGTGGGAGCGAATCGCATATACCCACTAAAAATCTAACCTAATCTTTAGCAAACTAGTGAGGAGATTAACAAAGGAAAGATACCAATACAAAAAGAGAAAACATATTAGATAAGTTTATTTCAAACATCACACTATGATGATGCAGTATTAACAACTGGATGGCAACATCTCGGGCATAAATTATTACTGATCATAATCATATCGATTTAGCTGCACTGGCTTTACATTTTGTTTTATTTATGTTTTCTCTTTTTCTAGCCCTCTTCCCCTTGTTTGGTGTCATTTTCAATATCCCCGGTATAGGCGGCGTCGCGTTATTCCAAAGGAACGCGTGCGGTGTTGAATGAACGAACAAAGCTTCAGTGATTAACCTATCTCACTCGACCTAACTACATTACTCTTCAGTACTTTCACTCTAGGTGGTGGATGGGTTAGATAATAGCTGGCATTTATGGGGTACCAACACACACTGCAATAAAGACTTTAATTTATCTCATCTCATCCAGATTCAGTAAGGATGGGTGGTTTTAGTTAAATGTTTATATAGTCGGGACAGCAGTCTAGCTAACTAGCTAGGAAGCCAGATTTAAATAATGAAGTCGAACAAATAGAGGAAATATCGCTAGTGAATAACACACTTACTACACACCACCAGAATTTATTAAGAAATGTATGAAGGACCATAGAAAAAATAAGATTAGTAGTAAAATTAATGGAAATAATGTAGAATTCAAAGCCTCTGTAGTACTGCCGTATGAAGGAGGAGACCTTACGTAGGATTCTCAATGAGGCTGGAATTAGTCGGAGTGGCATTTAAACCAACTAACTAACCAAGCAACTCTCTCAGCGATAAACTTTGTCAGCTTAAGGACCCAAAAGATCCAATGAAGAAAAATAATTTAATTTACCGAATATGAAGTAATGGCTGTGAGTGGGGTCAATTGCATGGGTCATTCGTCCCAGTAGATCGGAGTCACATGGATTATTGGGACAAAAATTTAGCTAGACCTAGAATGATTGACCCTGGTAATTCAAATAACCCAGAAAAGGTTCAGGCATTGCATTGTATTCACTTGCATGTAATCCCACAAAGATAGGATGGGATATTCTGAAAGTATTAAGAAGTAATATAGTCAGGTTAAGACAGAGAGGTTGATCCCTGAATCTTCGTTTATCGATTCCCTACCTAAATGTGCTGTACACACGCCCTTTCGTTGACAGACAGCTGGATATCACATATAAGCTAGAGACGGTGTAACTTGGCAAATGCCGAACGAGTCAATTATCAATGGATCCAAGTACTTACACGTCGCATCTATACATCAAATAAGAAAGTAACAACGATGAAATGGAAGAAACAAAGGCATACGAATGCTACCGTACAAAGGACAAAAAGATACAGCACACAACGAAATATAACGTTGCAGTTTAGATGAGTAGTACACCACTTGTAGATTAACAACTGCCGATTGGAAGATCTCGCAGAGGTCGGATTTCTAATGATGCAGATAAAAGAAAGAGGTATTCACGGTAATCATACTAACTGACAGTAACAGACGAACGACGTACAACCTTGCATATAAGGGCAATTATGCAACGCTTAGGATCTCTTGGTTTCAGACATTTCGAGAAGGTTAGACACAGGAATATACAGAGCACTTAGGTAGAATTCACAAAAACCGTAGAAAAACAATGACAATAACAGAAGCAAAATTTCAGATGAGGTATGTTAGGGAATAATTCCAAGAAGCAAAAGTATATATGTATGTAAAATCCATAACTACACGATTTTTTAAATTACCTGGTAAAGAAGTGGCTGCAGTAGGCGCATTACCAGCGTCTGCATTAACCTCATGTTCTTGTCTCATACGCTGGTCTTCCATAGATACTCTGAGTGCGTATAAGAGATCTGGATCTTCTGCGGCATCTAATCCAAATTCTAGTCCTAAACCTGCACCAGCAAGTCCAGAACCATCTTCGCCAGCAACAATAGGACTTGTCACCAAAGTATCATGCAAAACTGTCCCTGGTGCAATAGAAACAAGATGAGAACCTGTGCCATCTTTCCCATTCAGTGTATCAATGAACTCCGACAATTTTTTCTCATTCACTTCATTTTCACCGAAATTAATAATGTCCACATTGACTTTCTCTTTCTTGAGTCGTTTAGCGAGTTTAATCAACTATACAAAGTAATTACCAGTGGAAATAGACTTACTTCTTTTTCGTCTTCTATAATAGGGCTGCCGATAAAACACACAATCCTCATTTTCTGATGCCTCAATTGACGATGACGAAGGGCTAAGTGTGCAATCCTGATGGATGAGCAGAAAATAATACTTCCTTTTGGTTCCACAAGGTGCAGACGATTATATATTTTGCTCACATCATTTGTCAATGTACACAAAACCTCTGTGTTGGCAAGAGACAACAAACCAAGTGTATTTTCGGGATTGCGTTGGCGTTTGCTTTGACAAATCAAGCTTACAGCATCATTCTGTGCTTGTAAACGAGATGGGAAGAAATCCCCATTCCTCATGTAATCACTGTTATCGACTCTAAAAATTTAAAGCAAATTTTCAAGTATATTAAAGTTAATTACGCTATGATAGTAGCTTCTTGTGACATCTTGTAACGCACAACCTTGTACTTTTCGCGCCAACCTCATATGATTCAGACATCCAATTCTCAATGTCATTCAGCTTCAGACCTTTGGTTTGAGGCTAGACGACCCCAATTCTGTGTTAACAAGTATCTGTGCTCCTCTGACTTTTTCTTCAACGGGTAGACTGCGCGGACGAACACCACTCCTTTTGGTTGTCGTTTCCGGGATTCAGATTCAGATGGTAAGGATAGAAAGCTCTTGTGGCCTGTGTTAATCCTTGCAAAATATATCTCTGCAGATATCTAACTTCTCTTTGAAAGCGTTTACCGATGGAGCAGATACTACAGACGTTAACCACTGTGTGAGAGAATCTAAACTCCACATGTGTTTTATTCGACCTCGGTTTTAGCACCTTGTGGTGGCCTGGTGAATGTATCCTAGAGGGAGAGAGAAGGTCAGAAAGGTCAATCCCTAAATCACCCAAATTAAGTCGACCCTCCTCTTTCAGTATGATAATGGGAAGAGATTTAAATGCTCCGTCCTCTTATCATAAGGAAGGTGTGAAATAACACTAACTGATTTCGCTCCTACTATCTGTACTCTTTCCACGATATGTGGCTCCTTTCTGAATCATTGACTTACTGCTTGCATGAAATACTCTAGATGAGGTCTGACATTTTTTGGAACATACCCCCATCTATTCTTTCGGAAGCCCTTCGAAGTGCCCATAGCATTCGAAAAGCCTTAGCTGCGGCTTGATTACAATCTACCTGTTTTTAAGACTTGGCTTACAATAACTTCTAGGTCCTTTTGTTCCCTAACATCTGGCGTGTCCCCCAGGGAGTACGACGTCTAAGAACACTGACCTGGGTACACTACTGGGCTTTTCTTAGAGTCAATTTCCAGGCACAAGGGTTAGCCATTCGGTTAATTTATCTAGCTCGTTTTGCAGTACAAACCTGTCATCGTTACTATTTACAATTTTCTATATCTTCATATCGTCCGCCAATAGTAAGGAAGATGAGTTAAGAATTTTCGAAACTTCATTTACGTATAAGAAGAATAGCAGGGGGCCGAGTGCAGCTCCCTGAGGTACTCCACTCATTATTGCTTTCCACTCTGATAGTACACCATTAACCCTTACCTATGACCCTCTATCCATCAGGTAGTCGCTAAACCACTCACATAAGCATCGGTCTAATCCAAAACGTTTAAGTTTACTAAGTAGACCTAAATGGGATACCTTATCGAATGCTTTACTAAGATCGATAAAGACAACGTCCAGTAGATGGTCCTTATCCCTGGCCTCGACCCAATCTTCCCCATCTAGCAGTAAGTTTGTCAAGCAGGATCGTCCTGGCTGGAATCCATGTTGTTCCACAGCCAGTAGGCCATGTTCTTCTATATGAGCCAAGAGGTGATCCCCTATGAGTTTTTCTAACACATTTGCTATAGTGCAGGTCAGACTTGCATGCCTGCAGTTAGATACTAACTGCCTATTCCCGTTTCTGAAGATGGGGCTTATAAAAGCATCTTTCCAGTCCCTCGGTAACCGTAAGTGGAATGTATGTTATATGCGCCAAGGAGATTAGCAGCATGGGGTGAAGTCCGTCTGGGTCAGGTGAGTTACCTAGTTTCAGCTTATACAGTAGTTTGAGAACCACTGCATCCTCTACCACGACTGTGAGCATTTTAGTGGCTACACCAGTGACCTTGCTACACTCCTGAGTGATACGATTAGGCGAGGAAACAGCGCAAAAGTATTCGAAGAGCTTTCCAGCTCTTGTTTCGTCTGACTCAACCCCCTCTCCAGTGTTGCTAATGTCGGTATACAACTGCTAGTTTTAGTCCTGCATTTGAAATACGAGTACAGTCCAGTATTAACTCTCTCTCTCATACTCTATACGACTCTTGTAAATCTTATACTTACAAAGGTTTCGAATTTTGCGGTGTTCCGTGTGAAACTAATCCCTCCTAGTCACAGTCAACCGGTCTCATAAGTCCCTTCTCTTTCTTGATAACCCCCTTATTTCATTACCAATCCAAGGTGCTTTTCGAGACAGTTTTCGAGGCGTAGACCAAGGTACAAAGGGTGCAGTGATGCAATCTGGTGTCTTCCTAAATCCTTTTCAAGCCTCCTCGGCAGCCTGGTATATATTAACAGACCAGCCAGCTAGGGTTGCTGTATTTCGGATTGCAGGTATACTCACTTTCCAAACTTTTGGGCGAGCAGCTGTTGACCCATGTATGACAGTATGGATCCTAAACATAAACATAACTATGTGGTCACTGCTCCCAGCGGCGCCAGGCACTAAATGTCACCGACATCCTCCTTCTGGTGTGTTGGCACCAAGCCTAGGGTGTACGGATCATGTTCAGGGTGGTATGGCGCTAGTGCATCTATATGCTGCACGAGTGCGCATTAAAGCACTACCAGCATGAGTTCCCTATTGAAACAATTGTACGAAGTAATTGTTTTTAATTCCTCCCAATTAATATGTGTGGTATTAAAGTCACCTATTATTAGACACCTATTCCTACTACTCCACGTCCTTAGGTGAGTTAGGACGAAATCGTCGGCTTGTCTGGTAGGACATTTATAGATAACCCAAATTGCCACAATGCCATTGTTCAAGTTAATGACGCAGATCGCAGCTCCACTGGTGCCGCTGTCATGCACTTCCTAAAAAACGTCTATCTAATTCCTATGTCATTCCATATGTACAGAGCAACCTCTCAAATTTCCGACCAATTACCCTGTCTGCTCTAATGCAGATGTGCCCAAGTATCAGTGGAGTTAAGTCTACACCCACCACCAACCATGCTTCGGTGATAGCAATTACATCAGGTTGTTGTTCTTCAGACAACACTCGTAGTTCAGGAGGCCGATTCCTAAGACAGCAAGCGTTCGTATAGCATACCGAGAGACCCAGGTGTTTACTCGACCTGTGGACAGAGGTCTGGGCAACATAGGTTTCGGACACCTTACTACTGGAAAACCCAACAGTTGGGGGGTATTTCACCTTTTTCTATTCGGGCCTTTAATTTAGCCAGGGCTTCTCTTCTCCTAAATCCATCTCCAGAGGACAGTCGGGTCAAATTCTCATCTTTCTGTCCTTGATTTTGAATGCGTTGTTGAGAATAATACTTTCCTCCAACTCGTTCCCAAGTACTGTCTTCATCAGTCGTCCGGAACCTTCCGCTGCATCAGCGTTGCGTTTACCGAGTCTGATAACTTTCCTTATGTGAACTCCATTTGTTTTTCAGCATATCGGTGGGCTGGATCTGCTTTCTCCAATTCTTCCAAACTCCATATCACGATACTATAATTTGAGTTCAAAGATTTAACAATCGTACTTGTGTTTATGGCCGTTGAGGCCTTATCACTAAACACAGTGCTATTCTCTTACGAACAGTTCTGCAACTTCCTATTTTTCCACACCAACTAAGTGAAATCAGTTAATTCCCCTTTACTCTCTCCGCGACTGGAAGACGTGTGTCAATGTAATTGAAGATTGAACGATCAATCCATGGTTGTTTGCTCAAAACCAACTTCCTCAATTTTCGCGGAGGCATCAATACACCAGTCATCGTCTCATCGGTCGCTGTTCAGAAAGAAGTCAGGACAATACCGTCAGAAGTAATATTGTGATTTATTATTGTAATATTTGTTCACAGACCTTAGTTGTAACAGTGTTTATATGTTGGTGTTAGAATAAAGAATTCTCGAGTGGCCAATCGGTGTTTTGGTTTCTGCGTCCGTTATTACTAAGCGTTTCTGAGAAACTTCAAGGAACAGCGTGAGTCCCAGCATAGCAAGAGCTGGGCATTGACGGTTTACGAGACGTGGCTGACAGTTTCTGACGGTGGAAACAGATTCTGGCGGATTCAGACAGTTGGTGACAGTTTGGATAGTCACCGTTCATCTTTCCTGGTGCCGGTCAAGTCCTCTTTGAACAAGCAATATCTGGAACATTTTGGAATTGGGTCAAGTTCAACAATGCCTGGGTCAAAGAAGGGACAGAGCGTCTTGGATGCAAACAGGAAAGTAAGTCATGGTGACTTGTCTGTTAATTGTAACGATGTGTCTGATGTTAAGCATGACATGGTTGATGTTACTGTTTCCCCTTTCAGGGATAATAGGAACATCAAACTCCCTAAATTTGATCACGGTGTTTTGATGGAAACCCAGCTGATTATTTACAGTTTGTAAAAGAGTTTGAGATCATGTTGAGTGGTTTTTTATTAACTGATGAAATGAAGTTAATGTATTTGATGAGGTATTGCACTGGAATTTCTGCAAGAGCTATACAGTGCTGTAAGTTTATGAAGCCAAAAGAGGGCTACTACGAGGCTATGAGCATACTAAGTCAAAGGTTTGGAAGACCTTCGATGATTGTAGGGAAATTATTCGAGGCTGTTAAGGGTAATGGTGGTCAATTACAGGATGATTCCCAGGCACTCACTGAGCTTTTGGATAATTTGCTGATTTACAAGAATGCATTGATTTCGATGAATTGCATGAGTGACCTCAACTCGAGTTTTATACTAGAAGTAATAGCAAGACGCCTACCTACTCGACTGCAAAGAAAGTGGGTGAAGATAAGCTCCCGTATGGAGGATGAGGGTATCGAGCCAAAGTTCGATGACATTCTGAAACTGGTAAACAATAGTGTCAATCAATCTGTGAGCAAGTTTGCCAGTATATTGAATCTCACCCCTAGAATAGAGCAGTCTGAGGGAAAAACGCAATCATTGATGACGAATAGGCGTCAGAGAGGTGGATATCGAGAAGGCTCCATGATGTCTAGTAATGCATATAGACCTAGTGAGTGTAACAGGTTTCGTAGTACATCCTCAACAGATAAGTTACAAGATGCAAGACAAACACGGTTGTGTTTAACACGTTTGCAAGAGGTGCATACAAAGGTGAACTGTGAACCAGTGAGCAAGTTCAGTGATAAGCGAATTTCGGGCTACCGATATCAACGCTGAAAATTCCATACTTGTACCAAAAATACAGTGTGGGATCAAGCTGTAATCAAAAAATAAAAAAATAAATATATCTAACG